GAGCAGCTCCAGGGTAGCAGAGTTATTTAAAGACCAAGGTGTTTCATTTTCAGATTAGAGCTCAGCTCCAGGGGTAGCAGAGTTGACTGCATCCTTATTCCAGTCCATTCTGCCTGCATTTACACCTGCATACACATGCAGCTTCCCTTATCCAAATTAAATATCCAGATACACACTGAACATTAATATCACGTGGCAATGTTGTCTTGTTGTTCTACAATTCACAAATGCATGCTAGTGAAAAACTCCAACATCCTCCTTTAATTCTGGCAATATTAACTTCACTGACTGTACCGCAGTGGTTCTTTTTGTTACATTAAACGTGTGTACTGCTGTGTCCGTTCACAGGATACTTCTAATTTTATACAACTTGAGTCTTTTTTTCACAGATTCCTATCACTGATAATAATATTGTAATCACCAAGTTTATAGCTGGTGATAGCTCGTAATGTGGTGACATCACAAAAATAAGTCAGGCAAGAGAACGAGCAGTCTGATGATCAGACAGGTTGTACACAAAGCCCCAGGTTAGCCAAACTTATTTAGGAGAGAAAGCCAAGGTGAACAGTAAAATGATGACTAGGGATGTCCTGATACAGATTCCCATCCCATACTTACCTAACCACTAAATGTTGATTAAATATGTATCTGACACATGGAATAACAGCTGTAGCCTGTCTTGGCACATCTTATTTTTTAAGAGATTCTTTATCCAAGTGCAGGTTCTGATTCAAAACTATAAAGTATCTCAACTTAAATTATTGATATAATATGAATGCCAAAATTACAAATGATCTTTGGCAGAATACAGACACCAACTACAGAAAGCAAACAAGACAAGATAAAACAAGATAATAGCCAAGGTTTATTTTGGCCAAGTTACTCACAGAGTAGAAGTTAATAAGCGACAGGTAGTGGCTGGCAACATTTGTCATTTAACCAATGACAGTGACGGTCAGAACTAGCCAAAAATAAAAAGCAACCACCTGGATGTTTTCACTGCTCTTTGCTAATGAGAAAGCAGAGATAACAGATTTGATACTGTTGGAGCTTAGCGACCGTCTTTTATAGCTGATACGAATATATTAGTCCAGAGTGGTCTTGATAACGAATCTTAGGATAGGCTTGGGACATATAGATAAATATTACCCAGACTGATGAGTCTTCCTGGTTAAACTTAGACCTGAGGTTCTGTTCTGTGACCTACACAGTCTTGTGCATTCATGGGTTTTCCTGTGCATCGCACTGAATTGAAGTACAAATTGTTAGTCAAAATGGAAGGCAGAGAAAAAGGCACGATGAGCCATTAGATATAAAGGGGTGATTTAAAGACGACAGCTTCTGAGTGTTAAAACACCCACACACACGCACGGATATACACACATGCCACCATTACCCAACCCAACCCCCATCCTCCCACAGGCTGCCATTTCAGAGGGATGCTTTGCTTTAAAAAGTTTTAATATTTCTCTCTTTGTTCACGTTTCAAGGACAAGCACAGCCACCACTCATCTGCAGATGAGGGCGAGAGGGAGCCAGAGAGAGCGAGAGAGTGAGAGAGAATTTTCTGCAACTTCGATTATGAAACATCTTGTTGGACCTTGAAGTCACGGCTTTGGCTCAGAGAAAGCCTGGGGTGGGCTATCCGGGGAGGTGGTGGAGGATGAGCAGGATGTTTTCTAGCTGCCATTTCACTCACAAAACTGTTGTTTGAGTAAGGAGAACATGGCAAAAGGCAAAGGGATGTTAAAAAAAACCCATCTGTTAGCAACCTTTTCTGGCCTTGTTTTCTCTGCGGTTTGGCAGCTCTATAGCTGCAGCTATCTGTCTATTTGAGCAGAGCTGCCAGTTATTCTACTGAAAAAAACCCACCTGTTGTTAACTCCTTATATACAGTGTGATTGGAAACAGATACAGAGTTTGGACCACATGCTCTCTGTCAAGTATGGAGATTTGTTTTGATGAGTTGGGAAGGTGATAATGAAGAAAGAAAAAAAAACATCAACAAAATTACAAAGTAAATTGATCATTGTTCCTACCACAAGCCTAACCAAATACTTTGTGTTACTGTCTGTGTTATTACTGCACTAACCCTATCCCTTAGAATTACATATTAGAGGACCACAAAAAAAAATGTAAGACTATGGCAGAAAATTGTGTCCTCATCTTTTATTATTATTACTATTGTTATTACTATTCTCCTTTCAGCTTATAGATATATGTACTGTGTTTTTTGTGCCTTAGCCTTTCCTCTGTATAAATGATGATGATTCATCCCTTTGCTCGGGGCCAGACGCCCGAAGCTGGCGTAGGCGGCAGGTCTCTGGACCAGCTGTATATGTGTATCAGTACATCTCTGTTTACTCTCTTTTGTTAAATAAATTCTTCAAAGACAACAGTTGGTTGTAACTCAATTCTTTGCTCAACCCCTCACCAGGAATAAAATTTCCATAAAAAAGACTTTAACACTATAGAATAGTTTTCATCACCCAAAGTCATGTATTTTCTATGGAAGAATAAAAATTTTGAATTTACTTTTTTTGTCGTGTTACATTGCTTCCACTGATTGTCTGCTTAACATTGTGTTTCATTAATTTAATAACTTAATAAATAAATGTGTTCTAAAATACATTTTTACAGATTAAAAGAAAGAGGCTTAGGGGAATCCTACAATTATGAAACATTTTATTTTCAAATGGAAATGAAATTTTCAATTTGGAACCTTGGTAGCTATTTACTTCCACAGAACACCGTCTTCTGCTGTCTTAGCTGTGACTGAGGTTCACTAACATGTTTTTCACGCCATCACCTGTAAACCCAAATTCATTTCATGATTTTTCTCCCCAAAACCGAGAAAGGTATCTATTTATTTATTTATTTTTAGCCCTGACTAAAGACAATCCACAATGAGATCAGACAGCCAAGGCAACCTGTAATTGTCCTGAGAGGCAAGACCCAGGGCAAAATATTTCCACAGAATGTCCAGTGTAGCTGCCATTGAACACTGATGTCCTCTCAGATATTTCTGGACATTTGGGATTTAAGCAACCTTTAGGGAGGTTACATTCTATAACTGAAAGCATACACATGGCAAGTATTTTAATGGCAGGTCCCTCCCCCAATCCCCAGTCGATAGGACTTGCTGCAAGCACAGACTCACCCTCCCCTTACCCTGTGGCCTGCCTTAGGGATGCAGTGTGCAACTTGGCAACAATGTGACATCACATTTCAGATATCAGCAGCAAATCTCTTCAGAGCCCCTCCGCTTGTCTCCGAAGAACTCCTCCAACTTAGTGTTAACTCACAAAGTGCAAATCAGTGACTGAAGAACACGAAGCCCTAGAGAGAGCCACAATATACAGTAGTGTGTATGTGTATGTGTGTGTGTGTGTGTGTGTGTGTGTGTGTGAGGGGGGGAGTGTCCTTTCAGGCTTGGGTTACAGCTCTCTTCACCCTGAAGGACACAGTAAACACTTGTTTTATTATGATTTGAATATCAGCTCTCAGACTCTGAGGGAGGATAAATTATTATCATTAATTATAATAAATTTGCCTGTCAAGACTGCAATTATTTTGTTGCCACACAAATTGGTTATTCATATGATGGCGGCGGTGGAATGCAGCAGCGTGAGTGACTCATGATTTTGTTGAACAATCAAACCAGGGAAGCTAATTGTTTCACTCGTCAAAATATTAAAATGGCAGTGCATGTGTATGTGCAAGTGTGTGCAGGGCCAGAGCATGTGTGTGTGTGTTTGTGTGTGTGAGGGAGTCGAATCCTTAACTGTCATCTCCAAGACAAGTTTGTTCCTACTGAAAGCGCTGATGCAAATTTACAGCCGTCAAGTGAAAAATCATTTAGGATGTCATGTGGTTCTCGACAGATTGGGGGAAATTTGGACTCATTTAGGTCTGTAAAAACATAAAAACTCAACCGAACATAAAGTGCTGGTCGTGATTGTAGTCTAGGAAAAATGTGTGTGATTTTTCATCTACCTCTATCCCAGTAACGAATACAACTCCATTTACATTTTTTTGTTTGTTTGAGTTGTTTGTGGAAAGCCTATTGCCAGACAAGAACCAGGACATTACAATTAGTACGATTCTGTCAAAACCAGATTACGTTCAATGACAACAATTTTAAAATGATTTTCTTCTATCATAGCTGTGCATGGCAGCCATGGTATGGTTAAGGTTAGGGTAAGAGGCTGGTTATAGTTGGTTAAGGTACATTTGGTTAAGGTAAGGGAAGGATTATGTTTATGGTTGCGTTTATGATCTGTGATGAGAGATGCATAGATAAACTGATGAACTGCAGTCTCTCGCAGTTGGATGTGCGTCACCTTTCTATATAACACTACTTCCTGCTTTGGCAATGAATGTTGGCGGTGAATGTACATTGGCAGGAAAGATATTGACATAACAGATACTGGAATCCAACTGAAGACACAACCTATTGTAGGTATCGGAGAGGGAATGGGGCGTTGGGGTGTACAGGGCCAGGAACAGGAGATTGCGGCTTTCCCTCCCGACTCTCCATGTCGGAAACCATTAAAACCCATTTAAATACTGCCACCTCCATTGTGATTGCGCCTGTTGTCATCTACGCAATCATTTTTAGTTAATCACCCATTACAGGTACTACAATTGCACGTGCAATATTTTAGAATGCACACGCAGTTTAGTACTCTTTATTCGGGATGTTAGTAAATCCAGCCCTAAGAGTTTTAAGCAATAGTCCTTTTTGTATGTCTGTGACAGTGCAATATAAACACTACTACTCAAAGTACTTAGTTTCCACTAAGATGTTATTGAACTATCTGCTCTGACAGGCTCATCATGGCAGAGTTACTGCTCCTGCTGAAATTAGGTGAAAACCGCTGTCTTTCTTCTCCATGCACATGTGCACTTGACTTATTTATTTCTCTATGATGACAAGAGTGTGTTTACTTGCATGGCTCTTGGCCAATTGTACTGTAATTCACACAGAGTGTACACACCTCTCCAGAGAAGGCCTGTCCGTTCAGAAGGTGTTCAGAGCCCTGGCCGTCCTCGCTGCCGAAATGTAGCCGGATCTCCTCCAAGCGATGGCTGTACGTCATTGGCCCTCCAGAGATATTAACCAGATGCTCCTTGTCCAATCGCAGAGAGACATGGCGACCCGTGTTGTACATCGTCCCTCCCACCTGGAGAACAACAATGAGGCAACTTTCATTACACAAGAACACAATCACATTCCCAAGAAGAAACTTAAACTAGCACATCTGTGGAAAAATGGACCTCAGATCATCCAAAATAAGAGTTAACATGAGGCTATGTGAAGCGACAGGATTCTCACTGATGTGACAGCACATTAACAGCACGTCATGATGCAGCTAACTCTGCCGTTTATTTAACTTGTGTGGTGTCACAAAGAGATCAAGAAGAAATAGTTGATGAACATTGTTACTCCAGGCAGAAACAAGAAGAATAAGAGATGTGGGTGTAATATTATGGGGGATACTAACTTTGTGGTCACATAAAAAAAAGTCAGTGGAGTCACTCACTTTTTTATGAGAAACTTCTAAAATATAAAGTGTCAGACACAAACACAACACACCTTTTGCCTCTATTTTATGTATCGGGAACACATTCAAATGCTGACCCGCACAACTGTTGCCATGGTTACCACATTATCTTGCATAAATATGTGCATCGTTTAAGCAGTTTGGGAAAACTGAAAAATTAATTTCTTTTTACAGTCGTTTCGATCAGAAGTTGTTTTGCTTTCACACCACAAAGGGACTGTACCAGTTTGTTTTCATCACAGCAAGCAGGTTAGCTGTGAGCACCCTGAGCTTTTCTTGGTCTCCTGCAAATCCTGTGACCTGTGTTTAAAGTGAGCCAATGTAACTTTTGCTGAATAGCTCTCACCATGGACACGAGTGGCTTCTGCAGGGTATTTGTAAAAGCTAACACAAAGTGTAGCAGTAGCACAAGTAGAGGAGAGTCATAAAGTTAGCAAACTGCGTCCGTAATGTCAGGAACATGGCAGAATCCTTTTACATTTTAGACATTAAATCCCTGAGTGAATTACTTTTGGACAAGGATGCATTTTATTGCTCATGAATTCAACTTTTTATTTCTGAGAATGAACATGCTGTTTCTTCTTTCAAACGTAACGTTAAGGTGGATGCGCCCACAAGCCACAATAGTTCCAACCTAAAACAAAACCAAACATAATGTGATTGCAGCTCATCAAGCCGTACATCACTTCACCAAAGGGTGACTGCCTACTCAGCTCATAATTTTTTAGATTTCAAGCTATTAATAAGGTTAAAAATATGCATGAGATCCAACCCTGACTCTAAGAAATTACACATTAAACATTAAATAGTTTTGCCACTTGGTACCCGGCTTATGGTCACACACCCCAAAGTGGGTCACTTTGCAGTCTGAACGTAGCCTAAGTGTTAGATTCATGTGCCACAGAGAAGTTTTATGGATGTGGCTTGAACGTAAAAATAAAAAAAAATGTATGCTTAAAATCTCCCTTACTGGATATTTTAGGAATGCAGATTTTATCACTGAATGGTTTTGCTGATACACTCAGTGTGAGCAGATTTTGCAGTTTCCTTATTATATTGAGTCAAACTGATCAAGGTGCCATTCTGTTTCTTTCTTCTAAAGGTATCTGCTGTTGCATACGAGTGGTGCAGTATATAGACATGATTTGGAGGAGAAAAGGTTGCAAGAACACAAACTAATTGCTCAAATAATATATTTAGGTATGTAAAATAATAAGTGTTTCTCCCAAAACATCTTTTTATTATTTTATTTCTATAACAAATGAAATTCGACAAGATCTCCAAAATCATGCAAGAAAACTCACTCACAAAAACTTGAAAGGATGTCTACATTGAAAGGGCTATTGGTGTATTTTGCAGGAAAGTTTGCCCTAGTCCCTTTCTTCTGGCTGACTTGACAGAGTAGTGGATCATTTCTTTAGTAAGAGCTTTTTAAAAATAAAAACAAGCGAGGAAAATCAGGTTCTCTTGATGTCTTTTTCAGCTATGTGAGCTTTGGTTTCAGTAAAAAGGAAATGCTGTTGTCTTGCGTTTTTTTTGACAGCTTAAGAATTCAAGTTTTTGTTGAAGCCTGTATCATCAACAGAGCTGATGCAGGAACAGTCCTGAGGGCTTCATTTAATTAGGCAGCAATCTGAGCAGGAGGTAAACTGCAACAACACTTCAACAGACAAACTGAGCGAGTGGAGCCTCAAGTAAAGAAAGGACAGGTATAGATAAAAAAGAGAAATAATCAGAATATGTTCACAATCAATACAAAATCCATGAATAACAATCTTTTGCTTTATTAACCAATCCTTAACGATCTGTAGATCTGTTTATTTAGAATCGGGAGTGGTTTCAAAGCGAGGCATTGATATTCATGCCACGACTTTTGGTGGACTTCCATCGCTCTTATCTGCCTCTTTCTCTCTTCTCCTCTTTCCATTCCCTGTGCTTTCCCTCGTCTCCCGATCTCTCATTCCTTATACCACTGGCTTTCAAAATGATCACCCCGCCCCTCCGCAAATTCCCAGAGAAAGAAGTCTGCCCACACGTTGTAAATATTTTATAGAAGCTCAGAAAAATCAATGATTTGAAAGGAGAAAGAGAGAGGAAGAGGGAGCGATGCAAAGAGGAGATAAGTATGGGGAGAGGGAGGGGAGAGGTGGGATGGATTCAGAGCCCAAAGAGGAAAAGAGAGGAGCGAGTGGAGAAAAGTCTTTTAGGTTTCCTGGCCAGGCGGTGAGGGCGAGGTGAGACCCCTGAAAAGGCCAGAAAAAAATCTCATCTCCCTCAAGACCTCCTTTGGCTATTATTCATGGGTTGGAGAAGTGGTGAGATGACTGGAACTCTCTTAAAGCGTCAGAAATAATGAATGTCCAGCAGCCTGGAAATGAAGGACACTGAGATACTAAGCTAAAAATATGCAGCCATGCAAAGACATAGTATTCGCAGCCTCAGATACACTGCATGGCCCAGAGTATGTGTATACCTGAACGTTACACCCCTATGTCATTGCTAAACATCTCATTCCAGAACCATCTGCATTACTATGCTGGAGTTGGTGTAGACCAAAACAGAGCTAAAAGAAGAGTAAATATTAGACATAACAGCAGGACAGAAAGCATTAGCTAAAGTTAATGATAGTTGCACACATGATTGACATAATTGACAACTGTACGAGGTCATAATATGTCAGGTGTTTTAAACTTTTGGAGGAAAAAACAAACAAGCAGATGACTGCAGCTTTAAGGTTGTGAAACAATTTTGTTTCGCAAGAAGCCATCTCTTAGGCCAAAGTCACTTTGTTGTCACATCCATCCACCCTGACCTCCTTCCTCAGACTTTTTGCTGTGCTAATAACAGCCTCACACTGTTGTCTGTGGAGATTCTCAGCCATCCAGGTCACGGTATATATGCAACCACGGTCAAGGACTGAACGATGCTACAGAGGTTAAATGACAGCGACTCTCTATCAGTCCAACAGAACTGAAGACGCCTTTTGTCTTCAAGAATTCAAAACACGTTGGTAGAGATGGCTACTAGTGGTCCTTGTCAGGTACACCTAAACATAGATCATATTAGGCATTTGACAAATGCTGTTGTGAGACCTTCCCCGTACTGTTGCCACAAAGTTGTGCGCATATGTTGTCTGTCATTATTATCACCGTTATTGTTGACAAATGGGACCAATCGGGGTACTGAAAACAGACCAACAACCAAAAGTGTACAAAAGAATGTGGCCTCACAGCATAATTATGAAGCACAAAAAGCAAAAGAGCAGCTGGAATACAGAGTTTCTCCTGCCTCAAACCCTCACACTATTGCTAATATCTGTTGTTAAGGCTGATTGTTTGTGTCAGGGCAAATGGCTAGAGGCTGGCTGGGAGGCGCGAGTAGTGGAGTGTGGCTAGAATGACACAGGCGAGGGCAGTAATCGTGTTTGTCTTATAGTGAAACAAAGATACAAGAGCATGTACAGCAAAACGCAGCTCCTTTTCTAATTGGTAATTCTTTCATCTCCTGGGATCGATAATCCCCATCTAGTGAAGTGAAGTGCTCGTAAGAGCAAAACAGAAGGGAACATCATGGTAGAAACTGTGCTGCAGATGCTGAAGGGGGGAAAAGAAGTAAAAGAATATGCAAATTTTGAAAAGAAAAAAAAACTCTGCAGAAGCACAATATTGAGATGAGAATGTAAAGGTAAAAATCATTCATATTTTAAGTTACATTTTCAATCTTCTGATATGGGGTTGAACGAGATCATATTTTGGTACGTTTAGCCAGAAGAATAAATGAATATACACTTGAACAAAACTTACTTACTTCATTTGTCACGTTTCTGCTGTAACAATTACCAGACAAAGTCAATGTGCTGGGAAGGTTGCAAACAAAGCAAAGGCACTGTATTCCAATCTGCTTTCTCATTATTGTCTGGTGTCTCAACACTTCTGCAAGTAGTGAGGTAATTATTACAAGCGGGTTGCAGAGTTCATATTTTCATTCTCAGTGCTGAATGTGTTTCTGAAAATCACCAGCTTATGTACTTCATTCATGAAAATAAACCCAGCCTGTCAGATAAGCAGCGGACTAGCAGCGTTGCTTGTTTATTGAAAAGCACAACTGTACGACAGTCAACAGAAGTACTCGCAGCTTTCCAACTCATCTCATGTCTCATCATTATATTATTCTGATTATACTGTCTATATTTATACTGTGGCATCCAAATTACATCAAGAAGGACTTTTCTACACTCCAGTCTTTTGTTGTGAGCACTGCCATAAACAGTATACCCAATCATGTTCATGTTCATAGTTCAATTCATGATACTATGCTACTATACCAAAAGTCCATCAAGCTGTGTCACCGAGCTCTACTGATGTACAAAAACCATCAATGAGCCACTCCATTGTGACAGTGAAAGTGTGACTGGTAATGAACACACACACTGTTGTTTATTTTGACTCAGTCCTACACCATCCTGCTGCCCCAGATACTCACTAGAGCACTGAATGTTTATTCATCTGTCACCAAAAATGGTCCCCCACAAATGCGCAATTTCCTCCAGTTTGAGTCATTTTTGGTGGCTCAAACCACACTTGCTTTGGTAAAAACTACAAGGTCCAGCTTTTTTAGGA